CAGCACCTGCCAGGCGTGGGGGACAGCGTCAGGCCTCGCACTGCCGGACCCCCCCGCCCTCCCCTGCAGCGCGGCGCGGCACAGCTGGCCCCACGGTACCTGCAGCAGGGACTTGACGCTGGGCTGGAAGACCATGTTGGCATTGAGCAGGAAGGAGCGCAGCAGGGGCTGGGGGTAGCAGGCCAGCTGGGCCACCAGCCCCGTCAGCAGCACGTTGACGTACAGGGAGTTGTGCAGCATGTTCTCCAGCTTGCTGAACAGCACCGCCACGAAGGGGCCTGCGGGGAGCGGGTGCCGTCATGGGGTGCACATGCCTGCCCTGCCCTGCCCTGCCCCACCAAAGCTCCTCTCCCCAGTGCCCTGCCCCAGTGGGAGGGGGTGCTCCTAAGCCAGGGGGAACCCCTATCCGGGCACGGAGCTGCAGGGTCACATCCGGTCCAACCCCGGCCCAAGGCAGGATCAGCCCCATCCAAACCAGAGCAGACAAACCCCACGTGCGACCGCAGAGCCGCACGACGCCGTCGCCCCTGACACAGCCCCATGCATCGCCCCCACCCCTGCCCTGGGGAAACCACAGCCAACATCCTGCCTCTACCGAAGGTAACCCACGTCCCCACAAGAGCCCAGGCCGAGGTGTGCCCCACCTCTGCAGAAAGGCAAAACGCCCCTAGTTGGCACCGGTCTGAGCAAGGGGGAAATCCCTTCCCACCCCCGGCGCAGCTTGTCGGATCCTGAGCACAGGGGCGAGACCCTCCAGCCGGGACCCCGTGGGTTGGTGCCAGCAGAAGCATCGGCACAGCCCAGCCCGACCCCATCCTGGGCTAAGCCAGCACCCAGCACCTCCGGGGGAGGCTTAAAACCCCCCGACACAAGGAGCGGGAGAGGGGGGCAACCAGCACAGCCCAGAAACCTGGGACATCCCCACAGCAGAGCACAGGCATCGCGGCACCTAGATCATCCCTGACCGGTGCCCATCCAGCCTCTCCTTGAACCCCTGCTGGGATAGGGTCCACACCCATCCCCGGCCTCTACACCACAGCCGCCCTGCTCTCAGCGCTTCCCACCCCTGCCCCATCCCTGTCCCAGCCACGAGGCGGGGGTCTCACCTGTGAAGGGCTGGCTGGGTGGGGGTCCCAGGGCCCGTGGGGGACTGGCAAGCACCTGGGCCAGAGGGTCGGCAGGCCGCGGCGGGGCAGCAAAGGCCTCGTCCTCGTCTTCAGCCTCGTCCTCCTCTGCATGGGGAGGAGGGAGCTGGGCCCGAGGCGGCCCCCCACCACCGTTCCTCATGGCAGCCTCCAGCTCCTGCAGCTCCTCGGAGAAGCTCTCAATGCTCAAACCGGCGCCGTTGGGCTCAGCTGGCGCCCGGGCCAGCAGCTCGTCCAGCAGCGAGTCCACAGACGGGCCCTCCCAGCCCGGGGCTGGGGGCTGAGGAGCCCCATTCTCGGCAGGGAGGGCCTCCCGCTCGGCCTGGGGGCACCGGCGCACCTTCTTTACCGTCACGGCGCCCTCCGGGCCTCCTCCGGGCCGTCCCAACTCGGCTGCCCCGTTCACCAGGGCACCAGGGTCCCGGGCATCGGGGGCAGGTAGAGGCCGGCTGTCCCCAGGGCCAGCAGCTGAGCCCCCTGCCTCCTCGGGCAGGCCCCTCTTTTTAGTCCGGGGGGTGGGGGGGCCGTGGCCAAAGTGGTCGGGGCTGATGGGCAGGGCAGGGGCGGGCGTGGGCACCAGGCTGTCGGGGCCGGGCCGCTCACCGTCGTAGGGGGCTGACCAGACGCGGCAGGCCCAGGCGCAGCGGTCCACGCTGAGCCGCGCGTCGCGCAGGTATTCCAGGTAGTTGCCATCCAGCTCAGCCACCTCCTCCCAGCGGGCCGGGCGGTGGCCAGGGCTGCTGGCGGGCGAGGCCAAGCCAGGCGAGCGTGGCACTGCGCCCAACCCCTCCGCTCCACCGGCACTCTGCTGCCGCATGAAGAAGGAGAGGCGGGAGGGCGTCGCGGGCTTGGGGACGGTCACTACGGATGACGTGTCCACGCTGGGGCTGCCATGCCCTACAAGAGATGCAGCAGGAGAGGGCCGTGGCTGTAGGGTGGAACGGGCAGCGCGGGGGCTCCAGGTACTAGACCCTGTTGGGCAGGGGACCTGGTACACAGGGTCCAGGCAGGCGCTGCTCAGCTGTACCCCAAGAGCGGGGTCAGCGGTGATGTAAACAGCCTTCCCCAGCACCCACACCCCAGAGGACACGCAGGGGCACGGCATGGTGTGACACGGCGTGATGGGACACGATGGGGCAGGGTGTGACCTGGTATGATGGGGAGTGACCGGATGAGGTGTGATGGGGTGCAAGCGGCACCTTTGGCCCAGGCGGCGTGCTCCTCGTCGCGCTCGGGCAGGGGCAGGCTCTCAGGGTGGCAGCAGCGCGGGATCAGCGACAGGAACTTGGCGGCTGAGCGGCCGTAGAGGTCGAGGTCCTTGACCGCCCGCCGTTGGCTCAGCATCACGTGGCTGCAGGGGATCAGGTACCTGCGGGGACGTGAGACAGTGATGGCCATGCCCTGCCGGGGTCGGGGGGCAGCCGCACACCCACGTGCACATGCACCCCTGCCTGCCCGGCAGGCAACAGACTCCCAGATCTGTACCACCTCCATGCCCTGCCCCTGCCCGATGCCCCAGAGCACCACCCAGGAAGGATCAAGGCCCCTGATGGCCAGGCTGGAGACAGCACCACAGCTGGGGGGCAGGAAGGAAGCTCTCCTGCACTGGACATGTGCCAGCCTCCCTGCAGCTGCCTGCAAGTGGTCAGCGGGCAGGTGCTGGGCACAAGCAACTCTGTGGCGAGCTGGGCACCAGGGTGGGGGGTGGGGTTCGGGGCACGTACCTGAGCACGAGCTGCAACATGACATCCTCACAGTTGAGACTCAGCAGCGTCCGGAAGAGGCTCAGCGACACCATGCAGAGCTAAGAGGACATGGCCACGGCCGGTCAGCGCAGGCAGCTGTGGCTGGGCTCCCCTGGGACCAGGGTGGGTGAGGCTGGAAGGGCAAGCCTGAGGCAGAGGCCAGGCCAGGGCACTGTCCAGGCTGGTGATGGTTTGGGCCGTGTCCCCATTCCCCCCACCCCCACCACGCCACGCAGCGCGGGGCTGACCCGGGAGTTGGTGCCGAGGCGGGCAACGAGGGTGTCGAGGATGGTGGCGCCGTCGTGCCGATGCAGCAGGATGAAGCGCAGGAAGGCGCGGAGCAGGGCAGGCTCGGCCACGCTGCGCACAAACAGCTCCAGGTAGGCTGTGCTGGCGATCATCTCCTCCACTGACGTCTGCCGCAGATCAGGGTGCGGGGTTACGCGTGGCCCTGGACCCTGCGCTCCCTCCCATGCACACGCATACACACACCCCCATCAGGAACCCTGCCCAGGCCCCTTCTCCACGGGGAAACTGAGGCCTACCGCAACCCCTCCGTGATGCTAAAGGTCTCTTCCCCACGCCACTGCCCCCGGCTAGCGCGAGCCCCCACCTTGTGCAGGGCCGGCCCCATGACGGGCACCAGGAACCCATTGTGGACGTAGTCGACCAGCTGCTGTTGCACCAGTGGGTGGGCAACCTGTGAGGGGGAGCTGTCAGTGTGGCATGCCGGGGTCCCCTCCCTGACCTGCGGTGGCTCTCAGAATCGGGGCCACCGGTCCCCCTCCGCCACCCAGGAACCTCTCCCCCTGCACCCACCTGGATGACGGCGCTGCAGAACTCGAGAGAGTTCATGAAGAGTGCGAGGGAGGCGACGCCGGCCCAGTCCTCACGCCGCAGGAAGTGCCAGTCGTCCCCGCGCACCTCGATCTTGCGGGGCAGCGAGGAGTACAGGGCACTCAGCCCTGTGGCCAGCACCTGGGGGGACCAGGGAGGTGGGGGGCGCTCAGCCGCAGCGCAAGGGCCGGAGCAGAGCCCCAAACAGCAGGCCCTGCCCCCCACCCCCAGACAGCCAGTCCCTTGAGATAGGGAAACTGAGGCAGTGAGCAGCACAGGGGCACTGGGAAAAGAACCCAGGCATCCTGGCCCCAATTCCCAGAACAGCTTTACCCCCGGGGCAAGACCAGCCCCTGCCCACCTTCTGGGGTGGCAGTGGGAGCCATGGGATGTGCATCAGCCCTCCCCTACAGGGCACCGGCTCCAAGGCGTGGGCAGGGAAGGGTTAGCAGCTCCAGGCCCCGCCAGCTCCAACCACTTCCAGGCCGGCAGCCAGCAGGCATGGCCCAGCCCTGGCTTCCTGTGAGGAGCCAGGAAGGCGCTGAGGGCCTCCACCCTGCCCTGCCCCAGGGACGCCGTGGGGGGAGACGGCAGTTCCTCAAACCCCCAGGAGAGAGAGGGGCACAGGGCAGCTGAGCCAGCAGGGGGGTGG